CATTCTTTAGGTATACCTGCTTTACCCTTCAGTACACCTGGTCTACTGGCTGCCATAGGGCTGTCAAAGGAGGAAAAAAAACCACCACTCACACTTGTAGCCAATTTAGAATCGCCAGCCAACTTTCTATGCACTGTGAGAGTAAGCAAGACTACCTGCAGATAGAGGTAATATACTCAAACAAAGGGCATGTAAAAAAGTTTGCATTTAATTTAACATCTTGCAACTTTTATATGGAGGAAAAGTCCAGTTTCAGCAAGCGTATGTCTGCTTAAACGGGGCAATAATAGCTTCTGAGGCCAGGTTGCTTCCTTTTTCACAGAATAAATATCCTGTTATGTTGAAAACAATCAAAACCTCAAATGAAATGTAGTTAATTTTCATGGCTGCACACCATGTTTTTCATGAATTGTCCTACATATAAGGCAGAGACAGACGCTGTGCTCTTGTGTGACACTGTGACTGAGTATCACCACATATGTTTAAAAAAAACAAAAGATATTGTGCATAATGAGAGCTTTTCCTTTCTGAAACCTCTAATGTTTCTTATCCGTTTATCTTTTTTGAAATTTAGGACCGGACAAAGCGCCACCCCCACACTCCCCTCCCACCTCCCCCGCCTCCCTCTCTTACTGTCAGGGGCTGCCTAGCAACTGACACCATAAATAATATGCTTGTGTCTGTGGTTTGTGTGTCTGTAGGCATGTGATAATAAACAGGGTATCTGTTACTAGCACTCCTCTCTGCATGCCTGTTACACTATATCCGGGGTAGGCAACTCCAGGCCTCGAGTGCCGGTGTCCTGCAGGTTTTAGCTCTTACCCTGGGTCAACACAACTGGATCAAATGATTAGTTCGTTACCAGTCCTCTGGAGAACTTCAAGACATGTTGAGGAGGTAATTTAGCTATTTGAATCAGCTGTGTTGGATCAAGAACACTTTTAAAACCTGCAGGACACCGGCACTCGCGGCCTGGAGTCGCCTACTCCTGCACTATATTATAGTGCTCGTCTCTGAGCTGAAATGGTTGGGATGTTTAAATCTCTTTCTGCTACAGGCAGACAGAGCACGCGAGGCCTGACTGATAGCGCCCATGGCGAGCAATAACACAGCCAGCATCGCACAAGCCAGGAAGCTGGTGGAACAGCTGAAGATGGAAGCCAACATCGACAGGATAAAGGTGCGCTGGCACCTCGTGGTTTATGTTTTTAATTAGGTTTCCGTCCGTTAACTTACATTTATTTGTTTACAATTGGGCTTAAAAGTTTACAGAGCTAATGGAGGTAAACAATAGCAATGAATACTTCATTTACTTTTAATTTTTGCTAATGTATCCAAGTAAAAATGGTAAATGGTAAATGACCTACATTTGTATAGTGCTTTACTCAGTCCCTAAGGACTCCAAAGCGCTTTACACTACATTCAGTCATTCACCCATTCACACACACACATTCACACACTGGCAATGGCAAGCCTATTAAGAACAAACTGTACTTACAAAGAGAGCAGCAATCACTGTTACGGTCATAAAAACAGACAAACGCAGCTGTCGCACATGACTTTATTATTACTTTTCTGATTTACAGTACTGTGCAAAAGTCTTCAGTCAACTCCCATGTCTTTATATTTTGGTGAATGAGCTGGACTTTCACCAACAAGGTGATTCCCCAAACAGCTATTAGCTGAAAACGTGGTGTTTCTCAGCATGGTGTGCAGTGTGTCCTTAAAAATGTGAGAAAACGGGATAAGTGGAGGACAAAAAAAGAGGTGGCCTAAAAAACTAGCTACAGCAAATGAGGAGTATATGAAAGTCATGTCCCTAAGAAATAGAGGAAAAAAATCACCAAAGTTCTGGAACAGGACCTGAGAGATGTATGAGGAGCTTCCATTTAATAGTCCCTGAAGCCTCATTGGAAATGGCCTCAATTGGAAGGGTGGAATCAAGAAGCCCCAAACACACTGTCAGTAAAAGCATACCTGGATAGAAGAACACACAGTGGAACACTATGAGTCATGGGCAGACCTCCCCACAGCCCAGACCTAGAGCTAGATGTGAGATCATCTTGACAGACAATGGAACAAAAAGCCAGCCAACATCCAAAGAAGAGCTTTGAGTGTCCTTCAAGAAACCTGGAGACTATTCCTGAACACCTTAAAGACTAGAAAGCTCACCTAAGAGAGTTCAGGCTGTACTGTAGCATAAAGGTGGTCGGATCAAATAGTGACAGGTTTTGGATTTATATACTCTACATATACTGTTTCCCATTTTTATTTGAAAACATGAAGAAGTGGGGGCCAGCTTGAAACTTTTGCACAGTACTATATGTACAGATGTGTATGGAAGCCTGTTTCTGCCACTTAAAAAAAATAAAGTATCGTTCTTGACATATTGACTTATTAACTCGAAATTACGAGTTATTTTCTCAAAATTTGGAGTTAATAAGTCCAAATTTCGAGAAAATAAGTCCAAATTTCGAGAACGAGTTATGGATACTTTTTTTTTTTTTTTTTTTGTAGTGGCAGAAACGGGCTTCCATAGATGTGTAAGATCAGACTGATTAGATGATTTATTTGGTTAACTTAACGAAATTTAACATTAGGCATTGCCAGAGCAAGTCACATGATGAGGGTGGTAGTTTGTGAGAATTATTGATGAAATATTGTGAGTTTTAAAGTAGTGCTAAGAGGTGAGACTTACTTCTAGGGGTACTTTGGTAAAGCTAAGCTAACCAGGATCTAGCTCCTGCATGCTGCTATGCGTTTGAAATCCAGATAAAAGACAAGCATCCGCCTTCTGATTTAACTCTTTGAATTAAATTGGACTGGTGTTTTTCCACACTGTGCACGCCAACTTGAACTGATACACTTGTGTGTGTGTTTGTAACTGCAGGTGTCTAAAGCTGCAGCAGACTTGATGTCATACTGCGAAGCTCATGCCAAAGAGGACCCTTTATTGTCGCCGGTGCCAGCGTCGGAGAACCCGTTCAGGGAGAAGAAGTTCTTCTGTGCCATCTTGTAAACTCGGCACGTCCCTGCAGCAGTCTGCTAAGTGTGGGGACTTTGAACATGGACGTTCAAAACACATAGAAATCTTCTAGTAGGAGGGCACGTCGATCATTGCCCCCTTTTCTCGAACGGCACCTAAAGAGTGCAAAAATTAAAGTGTAACCATTAAAGCGGTGCAATTGTTTTTGAGGGGCTGTGCGGCATGTTGAAGGGTTCTGCGCTTTTAGATGACACAAAAGGGATGATGACGACGATGAGGAGGAGGAGTGTGATGATAACCACCTAGAGACATGATGGACAAGCAGTCAACCTACCATGTCGTCGGGTTGTGATGTGTAACAACAAAAAATAGATAAAATGAGAAAAATATGGATGTGGTTCTTTTGGGACTTCCAGATGTTTTGTTCAGTGGTTTAAGGGTTGGTTGAGCTCTGTAGGAAAGCAAAAAAAAACAAAAAAACTACGCCTACCACTAGACGCCACCTGTATATTGGAATGTTTTTTTTAAGTTGTTTATTTTGTGTTTATTCCAATTTTACCTAAATATCTTTCTATAACTATGTGATTACTGAAGTCTTTTTTTTTTCTTTTTTTTTTAACACCAACAGGTTAGTGAAAACTTTTTTTAATGGGATGTCTGACACATTCAACTCTGTGACTATTTACACCTTTACCTTTCTGAAAATCAGTCTCTGTGTATCAACATCTAGCCTGTCTGGCACATGTGATGCAGTTTGTCTCCTTCAGATACAAACCCTCTTTCTACTATTTGTATGAAATGACTAGCAAGTAAACTGTGCCGTGCTGTGAGTTCTGAATGTTTGTGTTTGTATCATTAACTATTGCATGAAACAGTCAAATGATCTTCTCACTTTCCTTTCATGTGGAGGTTGTATAAAATAGGCACTCTCATTCTGGAGGTGACAAAAGTAAATATTAAAACAAGAATGATTCAATGCAGACTCAACGAGCACATCTCTCGATTATACATGATACTGCTAAAAGCAGTAGGCAGCGGATCTGTGAGATTATTTTTTCCACATTGCTTGTAATCATATATATAAACTAAGAACCTCTGGAAACATCATCACATCTGCAAGCTGACACCGGTTTCATAAGAGAACATTTACTCTCATGAAAAAACGACTTTAGAAATATTTCTTTGTAATATTTGGCATCCCAAACTTTGACATCTCCACCACAGTTTAAAATAAAGTTTGAGAAGTGCAACACAAGTTCATTAAAATGGCTCCAGCAGTGTGTTTGGCAACTTTAAAGGACATTTACTTTTTAAAAATGGTAACAGTGTAGCTATTTTGCTGCCCTCTGCAGGTACTGAAAATGCAACTGCACGAATTACATTTAGGTTTTCCTAATTTTCATTTTAAATCATTATTATTTGCATTTAAAATGTAAAATAAAAAGTTGTAGACTAGCTAGATTTAACATAAAAAATCCATGTCTCTTAACACTACATAACAGTCATTAAGGTCACTGAATCAAAACCAGAACTTTAGCTTGTCAGTGTGGGTTGATTCTATGGGCCACAAACAAGGAGTCAGTCAGCATTAATGACTGAGAACCTTCACAGTCAGTCAGCATTAATCATAAACAAAACGGTGAAATAAAACCAGATTCTTGTATCAAAAAATGTAAAAAGGTTATTGTCAGAAGTGGGATTCGAACCCACGCCTCCAGGGGAGACTGCGACCTGAACGCAGCGCCTTAGACCGCTCGGCCATCCTGACTTTCAAACAGAAACGGCTAGACCATCTTTTAAAGTCGATCATAGCAATCTGCACACTTATAATTGTGTTATTGTATATTGTGCTACTAAAACAACAATTCATCCCACTGTGAAGGCGCTGAACTGAAATCAGAAATCCTCTCTGTCATTAGCAGGCAGCTAAATATCCATTACAAAAAGTAAGATGATTTTCATTGAAGAACTTGACAGCCGCTTCCCTCACCGATTGATTGATTGCCTGGCGCGTCATACCTAGCATTGCAACAGACACAATCTAGTCTTGGTTAGATACGTGTCTTTCCAGTTTTACTCTTGTAGAATCGTAGTAGTTATCAGCGAAATTGTGAAGTAGCTGCTATTAAGTTGTCTACGGTACGTGCTAACGGCGAACGTAGTAACTAGCTTGACAGACAGGGTGAGGCGGTTTGAACAAGTCCCTAGAGTGCATTCATCAGTAAACCGTGAGTAATTCTCAGGACTTTTTGACAGGTAATAGACATTCATTGTCTATAGGGAAGCTAATTGCTATAGGGTGAATTCCTCGCCCGAGTTGTCTTTACAAATCTGCGAGGTGCTTAGTTTCATCATACCATTGCTAAAGTTTAGCTAGGGGTTACCTTTTGTCACTTGCTTTTCTAATCTCTGAAAACAAACAGGTAAAGTCTGGTAAGGCCTGAAGTGTATTTTCGTACCAGACCTGTGCCGTATAATGCTACATTTGTAACCCTATTAAACTAATCCCTCAATGAGTCACTGGACTGTCTAGCCTAGTCAATAGCATTATGCTAACGTAAAGTAGACAGCTGCACAGTGTCACTCTTGGCATCTTATTTTAGCGCTCTTTCCCGACTGTTTACTGATATATTTAAGATGTAAAAGTCGTTGTTGCTTTGTCTGTATCTATGTGAAGTTTACATGTTATCCTCAGAAAGATCAAATCAGTTTTTAGTGTCCCGATTGAGACACTTTGAGGCGGGTTGTGACACGATAAAAAAAAAATACATAAATTAAAAACACTTTCCTGGAAGTGAGGGTTCGAATCCCACTTGTGACATCAACAGTTTCAGACTAAGATTATGGTTTTATTTTACTGTTTCGTATATTGTTAATATAGACTGAATGTTTATAAAGTAAACCTATGCTCTGCCCTCTCCTCAGTTGAATAGTTATGGCCTCCTTTGCTCCACACAACTTCTCCTGGGTGGAGCCAGGCAAACTGGCTGGACTGGCGATGCCCAGGATGCCATGTGAATACCGGTATATGGTGGACAATGGCATCAAGCACCTGGTTTGCCTCTGTGAGAGGAAACCACCCAACCATGACTCATGCCCAGAGTTACAGCTTCACCACATCAAGATAGTTGACTTTACTCCTCCTTCACCCAATCAGATTGATAGATTCCTCTCTATTGTGGAAGAGGGCAACTCCAAGGGTGAGGTAAGATCTCAGATGCTGACAGGCTGTGCATGATGGATGGTTATGCATTTAACAGTTGTATGCTACCTCAGTACTGTAACTTAAAACATTTGACATTAAGTTTCATTCCTGTAAACAAACGTCTTCTTTTGCAGGTTTTCCCCTAACATAGCTAAGTGCTACACTCTGCCAAGAGCCCAAAGGGGGGGGGGGATAATAGATTATTTTTAAAATGTATTACATAGCATTAGTAATATAATTTATCCATTCTGGGAACAGCAAGCCTAGAAGAAATACTCCATAACCCCCAAAATATTCAGGGATACTTTATAGATAACTGACTCAAATAGTGATTGTATTGTTTTCTACAGGGTGTGGCAGTTCACTGCATGCATGGTCATGGGAGAACAGGGACAATGCTGGCCTGCTACCTGGTGAAGACCAGGAAGATTTCTGGGATTGACGCGATCAACGAGATCCGTAGACTGCGGCAAGGTTCAATTGAAACTCACGAACAAGAGAAGGCAGTGGTGCAGTTTTATCAGCGCATTAAGTAACATTGATTAACTGCTTCCACTAAAAGAAGCAGCAAATAGTTACTGTTAATAAGAAAATGATGTAAGAAGTGCCTTAACTACTCCTAAATGAACATTTTATTACCTATTAAGAAAATACAAGAAGGAACAACAGTGCTGAACAATATTATGTTAAAATTACCCATTTTTTGCCCTTGGGACATTTGATTAATAGATGCTGTCATGATGCTAGGAAATAATTTTTTTTAATTTAAACATTTTTGTCTTCTGAGCTTTCTGTTTATGAACTGGACGCCAAGGAAAAAAGACGCTGGCGCTCCTTGAATGTTAGCTTCTCAGGAGCCGACGCTCTCTTCATTTTCTCCTCCTGGTTTCTGCAAATACAACCATCACATGAGAGATACCTGAATTATATCACATACGGGTGAAACAAACATCCTGTGCTGTTTTAGAATGTATTTATAAAGGGGACTTTACTTTATAGATTTATTTTACTCAGGGATATTATTCCGTTCTATTTTGCACCACTGTGTGCAGATGTATCATTAAGTCTTCTTGAGAAGAAATGTGGCATTAGTAGCTGCCTGTTAAATTAGATCAGGGATGGGGAATTCCAGGCCTCAAGGGCCAGTATCCAGCAGGTTTTAGATATCACCTGGGTCAACACACCTGAATCAAATGATTAGTTCATTACCAGGCCTCTGGAGAACTTCATGACATGTTGAGGAGGTAATTTAGCCATTTAAATCAGCTGTGTTGGATCAAGGACATACCTTAAACCTGCAGGAAACCGGCCCTTGAGGCCTGGAGTTCCCCCACCCCGGAATTAGACTAATGTTCCGCTTTGTGTGCCAAAAAAAGTGTAAACTCACTCTTTTGATGCTGCTTGATGAACATCATGAGCTAATCCACTTAATCGCTGAGCTGCCAAAGACATGGACATTTTCCCAGTTAGAATCAAATGACATAGCTGATATGCACACATACTTTTCTGAATAAACAAAACTGACACAACAACATTCACTTTTCTTTAATGTGTGAATTAAGGATCACCTCTCTTTTCTTCATCTTCCTTTTTGGAGAGGTGAGTTCCCGTCTGCTTTTCCGTTTTGTCCTTCCCACTAGAGCTTCTTGTGTTGTTCTGAACCAGGAAATAAAAGACAATAATGCAAATTATTGGGTGTTTTTTAGTTGTATCCACAAATAAATTTGTCATTACAGAAGTATGCATGTACAGCTATGGTTAGATATGTTAGTTATGGTTAGGTTCATTATGGACATGAACTTCTTGGTAATTTTGACCTTTTAATGTTTTCTTTAATAATTTCCTTTTCTTTGGAATGTTCTTTTTCCAAGGGTAGAATGATTGTACAGCAAACGTCTTTATTGACTTAAAACATCAAGAATTGGGTGCATAAGATTGAATTTGAATTGAAATTTCCAGTAGCAAGTTGCACCTTGACCATACACATTCAGTCAATACGTTTCTGGCATGAATCTGGCTGCATATCTGACCTCTCTTCTTGGCAGAATAGGTAGAGTTCATTGAAACTGGCTGGCTTCCTGGCATAAACCTGGCTTTTACGCCTAATCCACAGATTTTCAATGGGGTTGAGGTCAAGGAATGGGAAGGCCATTGCAGAAGCTTAATGTTAGCCTGAGTTATCCTTTCCAAAACCATTTTTATGTGTATATGGGATCATTGTCCTGTTGGAGCACCCAGTTTTGTTCAAACTTCAAACATCTAGCTGTTGATTTGAGGTGAAATTTACATCCATAGGGATGTAAAATTGGCTTCACTGTGGACAGTGTTCCAGCAGTTTCCAGTTCATGGCAGGGTTGAGCCTTGGTGGTTTCTTAACCAGTTTCCTTTCATCCAAATATGACAATTTGGGTCTTCTTCCAGACCAAAGTGGTGACACATCTTTCTTTTACTCATTAACATTTGTTTGAACTGATGATCTCGGTCTCTATAGTTGCTTAGAAATGGCTCCAAAAGACCTGCCAACATGTGTAAAGCTACAGTTCTCCTTAAATCTTCACTGAGTTCTTTAGACTTTCGCGTTGATCAATCCAACGAGTGCCGTCAATCAAATCCCTTTTATGCTGACAAAGAGAAAATTCTAGTTATAGTCAACCATGATGACGAATGAGAAGTTAATAGGCCTTGGAACCATCAACAAAACTTAAGAGTCTATGTATACTCGAGGCTGTATTTAAACTTCGGTATATAAACCGTGTGGTTTAGAGAAACTCAAAATAAAGTCCATCGAATTCTTGTATTTTGAATCATTCCACCCTGGAAAAAGAACCAATCAAAGAAATCATTAAAAGCCCCATTTTGCTATGATATTTAGGTACATGAAGAGTGTATATAAACAAATAATTTAAAGCTGACTTTTTTTCTTAACACTCTCTACTAAAGTCCTAGAATAAATTACCATACTAGGCTCCCTTTAATACACTTTACTTAATACCACAAAAACTTTTGGGCGTCTCTGTGTTCAGCTTTAAATTAGACGAGCTGTGTGACCTAAATAGGAATCGGAAGAGGTTCCAACAGTGTTGTGTATTAACAGTGTCTGAACAGCATACACAAAAAACAGGCTCAGAAAGTAAAGTTTTCAGTGTGTTTTCTCTTTAACCTTGGCCTGTGACATGCTGTTCTCTAGCTGCTGTATCATCACCATCATGTCCAAATCGTTATCTTCATCCTCATCATCTCCTCTCTGCTGAATTTCCTGCAGCCTCTTCTGAAACTGCCACTCCAGGTTGAGCTTTCGGAGTCGGTCGTTCTCCTCCGCCGTGCGCTTAGCTTTAGCCTGAAGCTCTTGCATCTCCTGCTGCAGGAACTCCACCGCTTCAAGCCTCTGCTGCTTCTCCAGCTTCTCCTGGGCTTCCCTCTTCCAAGGATCAGACATATCCAGAGGGTCTTTCTGTTTCATTGGACCTGTGCTCTTTTTCTGTGAACAGGGAGGTTCTTGGAAGGAAACATGCTTTGTTGGAGTGATACTCACTTGAGGTTTTGCTACTTGATCTCTGTGCCTGTTGAGTTTTTGTGATGAAAGTGAGGGCTGAAGTAGCTTCTTAGTTGGAGATACTGGACATGCAGAAGTACTACTAGCTTGGCTTTGAGGATTCTGCTTGTGTCCATTGATTTGAAGAGTTCGACTCATCTTCACTGCCAGCGACGAAGAACTCTGCTGGAAAGTAGTGAGTGGAGGATTTGACTGGTGGCTTGCTGCTCTTGTTAGGGGGATGTCGATGCGTATCGGCTGGATTGAAGGTGTGGATGTTGAGTGTTGTGAAAAAGGGGTTCTCCAGACACCGGCACAGCTTACACGGCTGACCTGCTGCTGATTTGTGGGGGAGCTGTTATCAGAGAGGATGTCATGAGTAGAAAGACAAGAGCGGATAGGGAAAGACGTGCAGTAGTTCTCAGTTTGCTTTGCACCCTGATCCTTCTGTGTCCACTTGCTCTGACTTTTGTCCAGCAGGGGGCGTCCACTGTCTGTACACAAGTTCTCCTGAGAGAGGGCTTGGCGCTAGAGGGGGATAAATAAAGAGATTTTAATGTAATTCTTTCTAGCTGTACTATTATGACTTTGCTTATGTATTTCTTTTAATGTCTTGGTACACCAAAACTTACCATGACGTTTAGAGATCTATTGGAGCTCTGTCCAGCTAAAGGTTTCAAAGACACTTGGAAAGTTTGCTGTGGTTTGCTAGGTTCAGATACATTCCTGTCCTGGGATCTAGGGTTCGGTAGTGTCAAGTATTCCCAGTGGAATTTCTGACCACAAGAAAGGAAAAAGTGTTACGCTGAATCCTTAAATATTTAAATGTATATGGCCTGACAAGTCACTGAAAATGTGTTAAAAACATTGGTCAACAACGATAATATTAATAATAATCTCACATCAGAGCAAAGATTTTTAGTGGACAAAGAAGCGGTGCTTTTTCCTGTGAAAGGGTCAACAAGTTTATCGCCATCCTCCAGGCAAAAGTCTGCTGTAATAAGAAGAAAATAAAAGTACTGCAGCTGTTATTATGACTCGCTCTCCAATGTTATGCATATTTAACAGTAAGAAATATGTGCGGTTAGCGCTCAGCAACAAAAAGTGACAACAGGAGAAGAGCGCCCACCGGCCATGTTGGGGTTGGAGCGATAAAATTGTCTGTTCCTCTGCATTATCTGCTGTTTCTTCCTTCGATTGCCTCCATGGAGCTGCTCTGAGGGACTGTGGTCCTCTGTGCTGTACTTTATGCAGGCTTTATTGTTTGGCTTAGCGTGGTCTCTCTCCCCTTATGAGGCAAGAAAAGGTCTTTGTCAGGTAAAAGAAGGTAGAAAGTAATGGAAAAAAAGCTGAGGTTTGATTTGAGTGTACTGGTGCTTGCCTGTAGTCTTCTCTGGGGTGGATTCTCTCAGCAGGGCTTCTAGGCCGTGGTAACTCGCTGCAAATTTTGCAACCTGTAAGGTCACAATGGGGCCAGTTTGCATCATGATCGCTGCTGCCCTAAACCAGTGTAAGATTAATAAGGTTACTTTTCATTAATGTCACAGTTTAGAGATTGTTTTGGAATTACTAAATACTTAAACTTGGCTAAAACATTCTTAAATTTTGGCATTTGTAAAGTTAAAAACATGCTACTCTCAACCAGCTAACCTGTGCTGTGCGTCTAATATTTACATTGCAGTTTTGGGGGGGAAAAGAAGACAAATAGTTCATGAAATTCAGTATAATGTATCATATTAAAGGGAACAGAAAGAGCAACACACTTTATTATTTATGTTTTCAAGACTACGCCCTACACTGTCACAGTGACGCAATAAAAAGTTTTGGAAAATCACACACTGCATGAAGCATGAGTTTTTACAGACTGCAGAGGCCAAAGATTTCAGTCTATTCTGCTCTATTAATATGGGAAAACATGAGAAAATACACAATTTTGGAATGTAATGCTTCAAGGTCAGAAGTCAGGATCACTCAAATTGGGGAAAAAGCTTTAGTTTTCTTTATCTC